TACAAGGAATTCTCATAAACCTTTAACCCATTTTTGCCAAATGTTAACATTTTGCCATGTTTTCTTTTTAACATGCTCTCTCTTCATGTATAAATTTTTTTCTGGACCATCAGAAAGTAAGCTGTAGATATACTTTTTTATTCCTAATTAGTTCAGTGGGTATTTCCTAAAAACAAGAACATTCTTTTTCATAACTGGAGTACAATGATCAAAATCAGGAAATTAATATTGATGCAGAACAGTTATCTAATTCACAGACTTACTTTCACATTTCACCAATCGTCCATACGGAAAATGAGGGAAAAGCCTTTTTTCCCTGGTCCAGGATGCAATCCAGGATTAAACATTGCATTTAGTTGCCATGTCTCGTTAGTTTCTTTTTATCTGGAACAGTTCCTTAGTCTTTATCTTTTGGGACTTTGTCATTTTTTTAAGAGCAGGTGAGCTGTTTTGTGGAATGTTCCTCAACTTGAGTTTCAGTTTGATGTTTCCTCATAGAGTCAAGCTATGCATTTTTGGCAGAGTAACACGGAAGTGATGTGTCCTTGATAGGGTATCATACCAGGGGGCGCCTAAAATCTAGTTGAGTCATTACTAGTAATATTTTTTTAAGTTTTAAAAGAAGTTTTTAATTTTAAAACAATGAAGTAAAACAGAAAAAAGTGTTAAAATTTCAGTATAGAGAAAAGAATTACAAAGATCCTATAATGCTTTGTAAAAGGCTATCTTGCTTATAGGCAAAGACTGTCTCAAATTCTATATTTTGTGGCCATTTCATTGACCCTCAGAAACAAGAAAAGTAATTTCCTTCAAAGAAATCTTAAGGACACTAGGAAAAAAATTGACATTCTCATATGCATTCTAATTACTAGTAATATTAACTTTGCTGATGTCATTAAGGCAGTATCTGCTAAATTTCTCTACTCTAAAATTACTATTAACATTTTTCCTTTTTGTTATTATATGCACCTTGATTCAATTTTTTAAAATAGTTGTAGGACCATTCTGATTTTGTTTCTCATTTGAGTTAGTTTTTGGTAAGACCTGGGATAGGGCAGATGTCTTCAAGTCATTTGATCTTTACATTGATTGTGAATTAGTGAGCAGAGACAGATGAGCAAACTGAGGCTCATTTGAGATTTCAACCCACATCTTGACTACAGAGCTCTGATACTTTTGTTTTTACTGGCAAGTTTACAGGTACCCCTTCTCACCACTAGATAGGAGTGCTAACAGGTCTTATAACTTTACATGTTAAAGGCTGTGTATAAAATAGCACTAGAGGCTGAATAGGGAGGATTGCTTGAGCCCAGGAGGTGGAGACCAGCCTGAGCAACATAGTGAGACCCCCATCTCTACAAAAAATTAAAATAAAAAAATTAGCCAGATGTGGTGGCGTGCACCTGTAGTCACAGCTACTCAGGAGGCTGAGGCAGGAGGATCACCTGAGCCAAGTAGTTTGAGTGAGCTATGATGATGCCACTGCTCTCTAG